GGATGGAGTGGAGGGGGGCAGCATTATGAATAGCTGTGGAGATAAAATAACTCAGTGATGGATTATGGGGGCAGGGGCAGGGAAATGGGTAGGGGGATGTCAAGGAGGACCCCCAGGGTCTGGCTCTGGATGTCTGAGGGCAAGAACGTGGCCATGAGGTCACTTAGGGCATGGTGCATGTATAGGGTCTGGGGATACCCAAGTGGAGGCAACTCAGACATTTGGAAGGTCAGGGAAAAGAGCCCCCACCTGATCCTGGGGCCCCCGCCACCATCGCCACTAATTCAGTCTCTGTCCACAGAGATGGGGACCTTGCGCTCAGCCCTGGCCGTGCTGGGGCTCTGCGGGGTGGGGGCCGCCTTCATCTGCATCACCATCTACACTGGCGAGCTGTTCCCCACCGTGCTCAGGTGAGGCTGTGCCTGGGCCTGAAGGGGGAGGTGCCCTGGGCTGGGAGGGCGGGGTGGGGCTGGCCTTCCCCAGACCTGGATGTCCGTGCCTTGGGTCTCTCTTCCATGTGGTCTCAGGGCTGCCCAGGTGCATCCTGGCCCAGCTTGACCCACTGTGCCTCCCTGGGCAGAGCAGGGCTAGGCCGGAGTGGGCGATCAAGGCTGCAGGTGGGCAGAGTGGGCGCTCACAGGTGCGCCTGTGCCGGCAGGATGACCGCCGTGGGGCTGGGCCAGATGTTGGCCCGAGTGGGAGGCATCCTGGGGCCTCTGGTCCGGCTGCTGGGAGTACACAGCCCCTCACTGCCCCTGCTGGTGTACGGGGCCGTGCCAGTGCTGAGCGGCCTGGCTGCACTGCTGCTTCCCGAGACCCAGAACCTGCCGCTGCCGGAAACCATCCAAGATGTGCAGAACCAGTGAGTGGACCCAGCCCCAGGACCAAAGTCTCCTCCCTCTAGAGAATCCCAGAACAGGGCAGGTCTGGCCACCCACCCTCATCACTGGACAGAGGGAGAAGCAGAATCCCAGAGAAGGATAGGATGGGCTGAGAGTCACACAGCACATCTTTGGGAGAGTGGAGGCCAAGGGCTGGGTCTCCTGGCTGTGTAGATTTTGTCCCCTGCTCGTCTTTCCACTACTTTCCACCAAATCACCCAGCTCCCCCCAGCTCCATCTTGAGCGAGGTCAAGGGGAAGGGCGTGTAGCCCTTTGTAAGCGGGAGAGCCGACAGTGTGATGGTCATTGTTGGGAGTTCTCGCTGGCCCCAGACTCTCCTACTAAGGCCCCTAGATGACTGTCGAGGCTGTCGCTGCCCACCCACCCTCCATCATGTGCTTAGGGAGCTCAGTCCTGGGTCCCCGAGAGCAACAGTATCTTCTGAGGCCTCAGGATGGACACAGGTCAGCGGTCAGAAGTCACTCTGCACCTAGGAGACACACCCCTCCATGTCTTTCCTGAACAGGGCAGTAAAGAAGGCAACACACAGTACCCAGGGGCGCTCTGTCCTGAAATCCACGCAGTTTTAAGCCTCCTGAGAGCCTGAGATGGGACTGTGGGAGGAGCCTCCCGTCCCCTGCAGACGGCAGGCCAGCAGACCTCAATTTCCAGAGGGCCCGGGGGTTGCCCCTCCAGCCGCGCCCGGCCTCTCACTGTCTGAAGAGCCACCTTCAACACAGAAGGGGCAAAAGATGGTGTGATTGGCAGGAGGCTGCCCACCGTGCCATCATCTGACCCTCCCTCATGGCTGCAAAGAGGATCAGGAACGAGGCCTGGGGGAGAAGCCAGCCTGTCGACCCCGAGCCCCCCTCCTCAGCTCACTGCCCCCAGGCTCAGGCTGACGGTCACCCATGGTCAAAACCTCTCCAGCCTCTCACTCCAGCCAGAGGGCTCTGCACAAGTGATGGAGTCTCTGCTCCTCAGCTTCCCCAGAAAGGTGGCCCTGGGCCCACCCCACTCCTCTCCACACTCCAGCCACGCGCCTGTCCTGCCGGCCATGCCTTCTGCCTGGAATCCCCCCGCCACCTTCTCTACCTGACAAACTCCCACTCAGCCTCCCCCGGCCAATGTCCTCATTCCAAGGACCCAGGGCCCAACCCAAGGTTCTACTGAAACCCTAACCCGTAGCCTCAGCCGTATACCTGTCTCCCACCCCCACCAGCCTGTGAGTTCCCAGAGGGTTGGGGTGTCCACAGCTCCCACACAGCCAGGTGGAGGGGCATCAGTGGGAGACGAGAGAGTGAATAAAGGAACAAATGACTGCCCCTCACCAACGCAGTGATGAGCCCAGGGCCTGCCCGGGTGGGGGCCCCTTGCTGGGGTGGCCCTTTCCCAGGCAGCTCTCCTATTCTCAGTGCCCGCCTGAGTGGCTTCCCTTTCCAGCCCCTGTTGTGGGGCAGGCACCATGCTGGGCACCTCAGGGCATCATCTCATTTCATCTTTTCATGAACCCTTTGTGGTAGATGTTGCCCCATTTTACAGATGGGAAAACTAAGGCTCAGAGAAACTGATTGCCCATGACACACACGCTAGGAAGAGGCAGAATCAGGAGGCAAGCCCTGGTCTGTAGGTCTCCAGAGCTCAGCTCCGGCCGCAATACCTCCAGCCCACCCTCAGGCCTCAGCTCACAATCCAGTGATGGTTCTCAAGGTCAGGGGTCTTCCTCTCAGAACCAGCCAGAGCCCCGCACGGTCCACTGGCATCACTTACGGGTGTAGGGACTCAGGCAGAAAGGGGAAGGCCCCAGACCTCCTCTACCCTAGCTAATAAATCTGGGTGCAGGCAGGAGCCATCTGCTGCCCAGTGGGGTCCCCACCAGCTGTGCTCAGGTGGTCCCTGGGCCACCTAGGCCTGTGTCACTGCTTCCAGGCACCTCAGCAGAGGGCTGCACCTTACACACACACACACACACACCAGTGATGTATACTCACAGGTGCACGCACACAAGAAGGTTAATGGGAAAACAGAAAGTAGCTCCTTGTCCCCGGGAGATGGGATCACTCCCTGGTCTGATCAGCTGCAGCCCCTGGGCCTCTGGAGGTTGTGTCCTTCAGGTGTCTGCCTATGGCCACCCTTCAGTGAAGACCCCCAAGACCCAGGTTGTCCCAGCCCACCCGGGACCTATCTGCCTGCTGCCCAGCTGAGCCCTAGCTGCCTTTCCTACCCTTGCTCAGCATTCTTGGGACACTAGGGTGTCCAGAAGCTTCCAGAAACCAGAACCCAATGGCTGAAAGATGGCTCCTCCTCTCCCTTGGGGTGTCCTCCAGCTCACCACGTGGTCAGAGCTGTCCTCAACCCATATTCAGAAGGGCCTTGCTCCTGGTTCTTCCAGGTGGTCACAATCTTCCAGGACCCAGGGCCTACCTGCTTCCAACAAGTCACCCCTCACTTAACTCAACAGGGTCTGGAAGCTGGAAGGGCCCAGGGCCCTTCCCCTCTGGGGCTGCCAGGGACTGAGTGTCATCCCGGTGGGCGCCCTGTGAAGGGAGGAGCCTCCCTCTGCGGCAGCCACAGGCCTGCATTCCAGCTGGGTGATGCCACCTGAATGGTAGGTAGGCCTTCACTTGGGACACACCCTCTCTTTGGATACCCACATTAGGGAGCCCCCAACCCCAGAAGCTGCTGGAAACTCTGCAATGGAGCCAAGGGGACTGGGCGTGGGAAAGGGGAGCCCATCAATCACCCCCATAGGCACATCCCCCCACGGCCTTAGGCAGCGAGGGCAGGCAAGTGGCTGGGGACCTACTCTGCCCAATTTGCGGCCTCCAGCCAGGCCTATAGCTCACCCAGGGGTGTGTGTGGGGAGGGGCAGTACCGGGCGCCACAGGCTCCATAGCCACCTCCAGGAGGGCACCACAGCCCCAGCACTGGTGTTCTCGCCCCTGGGGGCTGGCATGGCCAGGGCAAGTCTTCAAGGTCAAAGGTATCAGCTGGACTTTACTGTGAGCGTCTTCCCCAAACCCTGTCCTTGGTCCCCTGAAGCGGAATCTCCTGACACACCCCTACAAGTACCAATTGTCAATCAAGGAGGGAATGCCTGGAATTTCAGCCACCCCCAGGTGCTGTTTGAACTCTCCTGAGGGTGGGGGGTTCCTGCCAAGCCCGGCACACCCCAAGAACACCAAGGCCTCAGTTCACAATAAGATGAACAGAACAAAGGAGTGGAGACAAAGGGGACCTCCCTTTCCGATTGGTAAACTGAGTCAACTGCTGAGTCCAGGAATCTTTCCTCTTACAACCAAGCCTTTGAGTGACAGGAGTGCTTAGCTTCCTTATGCAGAGAAAAACACCCAGTCCCACAGCCACATGGCAACGAGCAGGACTGAGGCCTGTCTTTCCAACTCCTGCACTGTCCCTCCCTCTGGCCTCCTACTCTGACAGACAGTTCAGGGCCATTCTAGGAATTTCTGGAGTAAGGATGTTTTTTCCCTTCTTGACACTAAAGAACTCCTGCCTGCCTGTCTTTCTTTTCTTTGGTTAGTGGGGATGGTGCAGGGAAACCCGAGATTAGTCTCCATCCCTTGGACAGAGGGCACAGCTGCAGAGGATCCAGGGACAAGGCCATCGCCTGCACAGGGACAGGGTGTTCTGGCCAGCCTGCCCCAAATCAGGACCCCCGCCAGGGCATTAGAGCTGACCTCAGGGGTGCCAACCTCAGTCTCCAAGACTAAGCAGTGGGGAAATAGGGACCAGAGCCTCTC